AGCTTCTAAACAGGCTTTTAAAAAACTTTGCTTATTTGCTGCTGTAATATTATAGATTTTTTAGAATAAAAAGCTAACAGATGTGAAAAAAAAAAAAAAAACAGAAATACAATTATAGAGCATTCAGTAATGTAAGAAAGCCCGTAATGTTTCTGAATAAATCCATTATTGTATGAGTTAAGTTCTGCTCTGTTTATGTCTCTTTCCTTGTAAGTATGAAATGTCCCATGCTCCTGAATGCACCATAGCTATCTGACACTCGTGAATGCATCACACTGGTCTGTGAACGCTGTGCTGTGTTTGATTCTCCTCTTCAAACAAAGCTGTGCAGTTTCCAAACTCACGTCGCATCGCTGTTTATTATTGTGTGTGAATAACAAGAGACTACGACAAATAAATCAGCCGTACCTCTGACAAAATCTTTGGATTTCATGTTGTTCATAACACCCGTACTTTTGTAAATGAATCTGACAAATAACCACAATTTATTCCCATGAGAGGAATATTTGTGCAGAGCGAGGCGCGGATGCATTTTTCGGCATAACACCGGACCGCGGACTGCTGGAGTCCCTATGTCCTCCAGCAGTCTAAGCCTATAGCAGCATAACCATAGAGATAGCTCATAATGGAGGATGAACCTTCATGGAATTTAAAACAGCAGATCCAGTCAGGTCACCTGAGAGTCAAACCGACCCATTTCAGACTATTCAAACTATTTCTGCTTAGCTTTATCAAATCACACTAAGATGTGAATTAAGTTTTTGTTTGATTTTGTTTGATCATCACAAAAGCAAATATATTGTGTCATCCCGAATTGAATGAGTCAATTTCTGCAATGATGGATTGCTTAAAAAAATGCATTATTCTGCTGATCTATTGACAGATATCCCAGCATGCACCTTAGATGCCCTCCAGCAGTCCAAAGTTTACCAAAAGGAGCAGAGACGTCAGTTTAAGGAGCTGAAGGAGCTGGTCAGGAGACACCAGAAGAAAACTGCAGAGCTCCTCCGAGAGTTTAGCAACAAGTACAAGAAGACGGCAAGACAGTGCAGCAAGAGCAGGTGAAAAGAGCATCTCAAAAAGGAAAGTTATATAACAGCTAGTCACTTTCAAGGATTATATAAAAAATGAGCACTGCAGAAATGTTTCACTAAGGAGCAATGAGCAATAAATGATCAATTTAGATAGAAAAAAAAAAACCCAAAATGGTATAAAGGACTAGAGATGCTGCTTTAGATGGAAAAGTTGGTGCGGAACTGGTGACCCATGACATTTTAACATAATTTACGAGGTCCAACGATAAAAATGGCCACACCCACCGAGCGATGTCATCATAGTTGATGTCATCATCCAAAGTTTTACCGACATTTCTAAGGGCGAAGAGGCACCTTCCTCTTCACTAACAGCATCTTAACCAGCGGGGATGAAGGGGCAGAGTCATCATCGATGTTAGGCATTAGGCTTTTGCTGAACTGTTGGCTAATGTTGATTCATGAGGACATTTTTTATTAGAAAATGAAAATGTTTGTACGGTGGCCCTGAAGTGCAAACTGCAACTACAAATCTAAAAGCGCAACTACATTAAGGAAATCGCAACTTCATAAAGCAAATCGCAACTACATTAAGAAAAACACAATTACATTAACCTACTGGAAAAGGTAGGTAGCAGTGGGAAACATGAGACATCGCTGATTGGACGGCGGCGCCGTTTGACCCTGACCGTTTGACCGGAAGTTGCGTCGTCTGAACAGTCCAGCTTCTTTTAAGTGTGTCTTCAGTGTACGCAAACTAACTGAAATTTCGTGATTAGTCTTGAGCATATCCAGTATCACCTCGTACGTATGTCCTGATTCAAAATATTCCTGGATAACGGCAGCTATGTTTGGGGCGCCGACAATATCCATGTTTTCAAAAGCCGCAGCAGGCAGAATGACTTCCGGTTCAAGGGTCAAACGGCGCCGTCGTCCAATCAGCGATGTCTTATGTTTCCCACTGGTACCTACCTTTTCCGGTAGGTTAATGTAGTTTTGTTTTTCTTAATGTAGTTGCGCTTTTAGATTTGTAGTTGCAGTTTGCACTTCAGGGCCACCGTATGTTTGACTAGGTCAATTTATATTAATTACTAACTTCAGCTTGTAGAACCACAATTGACGCACACATGCTCTGCACTTATAGAAACAGATGTTGTAAGGATTTATTCATAAAACATACAACTCACTATGGAGTGAATTTTGGTGCTAAAGTACATGTTTCTTATGGAAATAAAAAGAAAAACATTTCTTAAATGGAAATCTGAAAAAAAACAAATGCAATCCAGAAATGAAACTTTTGGAGGGTAACCTTTTAACCGTTTATCATATTTTTTCAAAGCTATTTTAATATTTTATGTTATAAAGGGTTAATACTTAAAAAATATAGTTTTACAGATTTTATTATTTCTTTTTCTTTTCAAATTTCTGTTTTAGTTTGAATTTTACAAATTCCCTTGTTTTTCAAGAACCTTTTAGAGATCACCTTCTCTTTACTGAAGGACAAATACTGATGTTCAGTGTTGATCAGTAATGATTTTGCTAATATCCATGCACACCATGTGATCCGTAAAATGCTATTTGAAAAGAATGCAATTTATTTAATTCAGTTTAAAAAGGAGACATTTGGAAAAATAATGAAAACATAAAATTCACAAAAAGACTTTTGTTTTAAATATTTATGTATTTGAGAATATAAAATCTGTAAAAACGTATTGTGAAAAAATTACTTTTAAAATTTTAAAATATGAAAAATACATTTGGAAAACAATTTAAAAAGTTTCTCCCAAAACCCTTTCAGAATGAAAACATTTTTCAAAGTTTGATTTCTGGATTGTATTTTTTATTTTTTTTTTATTCACAAAGATGTTCTTTGTTTGCAAGAATAAAGGTACAATATTCACTCCATATGTACGCTTGCTCTTAATTTGGGCATTAGATGAATTGCTAATGCTATTTGCGTACATTTGCCCTTAAAATAAGAAAAGATTGTTTTTTCTTATTTTCTTATTCTAACAGCAAATTGTCTTATCTGCTCAAATCATCAAGAAAAAAACACACCTCAGAGAAAATGTAGTTACTTGTACATAGATTTTTGCATCATATTTGTAATTAGTTCCTTCCTAACATGAACTCTTGATCATGGCAACTAGATCAAACACTAGATTTCTAACCAATCCATTAGTGATTTTAGCAGCAATATCTATAGACCATGTAAGCCTCGATGTATTGCCACTTCCTCCATTTGCTATTTATTGTTAGTATATATATTTTTTTATTTGTTGATAAAGTTTTTTGCAATTGAGACTTGCTTAATATTTAGTATCACTGAGTCATTTAAATCATGTTTAATGGCAACATTGAAATGGCCTCCAAAAAATAAGCAGAACATACGGGGATCTGTTAGACTGATGTCAAACTACCGTAATTGGTATCGGCCTTAAAGAACCTGAATCCGTCAATCTGCAAGGCCAAATTTATATCGCCTTCCATGCTATGTTCAACCTTGGTTTGTCATATAAAAAGAAAGAAAATTCCCTGAAGTCTGATATGTTATATATAGACTAGCCGCTGTAGCTACAGGTTTTAGGTTAATATGATGATGCCTTGGTGTTTGTCAGGGGTTCGTCTTCAGAGGGCGAGAAAGACGAGCGTCTCCAGCAGCTGAAAGATGAGCAACAGCAGCAGCTCTTGGCTCTGAGGCAGGAGCAGTACTACAGCCAGAAGTATCTGCAGAGAGAACACATTAAGATGGTAAAGTCTGACACTATAGACATCCGAACAGAGCGGAGTGTTAAACTGATGCATGTTTCTGTGACAGAGAATCTCTGTTTCCTCCAGCTTACAGAGCGACTGACCAGTCTGGCCGAGGAGAGCCACAATTCCCAGATGAAAAAGCTCAAAGATATCTGTGACAAGTAAGGATATATATACCCAGGTGGAAACAACTTTTGGTAACCATCATTTAATGATAGAAAAGCCTACACTGGTCACAGAATTAACTTGAATCTGAAAAAGTTATGATAAATAAGAATTGTATGAAAATCACCAAATAATAGATGTTTGATGGTTTAGATCTGGCATCTGCATCCTCCAAAGGCCAGATTCTTCGTACGATTAAAGTCATAGCCTGTTCCGATTAGACGACTCCTCGTTATGCAGCCGACAAATGCAGCCTTCTTTTTACCCGTTCTGAAGGACAGCTCGGCTGTATCCTCTGTATCCCATGATTCATTGGGAGTCCAAGCAAGCCGATGTTCTGTCAGAACTGCGTAGGCTGTCAGATCGGCATACATTGTTCTAATATCATACATGCACACGCGCAAGAGAGAATTATTCCCACATTGAGTTTTAGCAGCAGTTTACCGACCTGCAAAAACATGTTTATTTTAACTTTTAAAGAAGAAAATCAGCTTTGATTATACTGTTATTTGGTGGATGTAGAAACGTCTAGACGAGATTGAAGTTTCTAGGATGTTGAGAGAAGAAGACTCTTTAGCTAAAACCATATTAGTCTATATTAATTTAAAATAATTTACTTTAGTAGTAAAAAATGTGCTGGAAATTAAATCTGGTTACAGTTTTTTTCATATAAAAAATCATAGAAAATATTGGCTGTGGTTTTTATTGTGACCTGGAATGAATTCAGGTTAGTTAAAAACGAATCGTATGCCGATCTGACAGCGTTTGCTGTTCTGACGGAACACCGACTGCTCCGTGCTCAGGAGAGAAAAGGAAATGCTGCCAAACAGTGGTGAATATTGGAAGTGCAGTTTAATATGATACAAGTATGTGAATAGTTCTGTCTGACATTAATGAAAATAGTTGTTTTAAAGGTTATTGAGTCAGATACAGTATGTGGAGGGTAATGTTTGGTTTATTGAAAGTTTTATCAGGCCTCTGCAAATGGGTTTGTTCTCTGCTAAAAAATGTATTCATTAAACTTTTCTCTATATATGTACTTCTCATGTGCTGGAAAAACGTCATCAGCCATAAGCCCTGCTACTGTTCCAATTCACAAGAACAGCAGACCGAGTCCTCGGATGCTGTTCTCGCCCCTCCCTCTTCACCCAGCATGCATCAGGGCAGACTTGTCAGGTCTTGAGATTGACAGCTGTCCCAGAATGCACTGGGGCAGCAGCAGCTTCAAATGGAGCGCTCACAGAGCTCAGAGTATGAAGTTAAAAGTTCTCTTTTCTGTTGCTGTTGTTTAAGATCATTTAACGTGAAAACATTATACTTTAAGTGTCTCATTTAAATGGCCCATTAACTGATTTAATGCGTAATTTGAAAACAAAATTCCGAAGTTGAGAGGACCGCAGCAACCAGCAGACCTCTGAGGGTAACAGCAGCCAGGTCTAATCCTAGCCCGTCTGCAGCAACCCTCTCTCTGCTTCGCCATGTGTGAAGGACCGCTGGCTCTGATGACGAGTTTTTATGTTTTATTTGGCAAAACGTTCAATTGATTTGTGTTTATCTGACTGTGTTCATTATCATTCCCCCACTAAATGAAAAAAGTCATAATTTATTATTATCTAGAGACTATTAATAAGAGGAGGTGAAATGCAGCTCCAGACAAGGCGAGCGTGTGGTGATATCAGTACGCTTCTGTTCCAATTGACCCAGATTTATGCTGCGTGCTCGCGTTCTCACCAAGTAAACACTTTCCTGTGTTCTCCTCAAGAACATACCTGGCGAGGACATGAGTCTGTACTCGCATTCTTGTTCATTGATAAACGGCCATTGTTTGCCTGCTTTGTGTGTCAACTGCCACGGTTGCTAGGCAACAGCGCGTATGGACAGCGAAAGCCGGAAAACGCTCGACCTGTTTGAACCCATAGCCAAAGCTCTTCTGTTCTCCTTATTTTCCCTGACCTGGAAGGATCCAGTCCAGGTAGACTGGGTCCTTGGAGGATGCAGCCTCTAAAATCGAACATAGCTATTGCTTTTCAACCATGCTTTAACAGAAGACCTTTAAAAGATAAACTCATAAAACAGGCCTGGAAAAAATGATGGTACCCCTAGAAAAGATGGAAAATAATGCGACCATAGGGACATCAAGATGTGTTCACAAATTAGCGTCACAGGTGTCTACAATCGTTTAATCAGTCAATGGGCACCGCCCAATCTCTGACACTCTGGTGGGAGAAACACTGGTAAGTGACCACGATCATCTGACAGAAGATGATGATCTCAGTGAGTCACTTACCTGGTTTAACAGTTCAGTCCATCACGCTTGAAGGGGGTGCTATCCAGCAGATGGGCTGACAGCTGACGTGGCACGCGTCACCCAGAGTATCGCCGGTGCTGCAGCTCCGGAGGACTAGCTGGAAGCCGATCCGGGCCAGGGATGCAGAACAGGCAGGAACAGACAGATGAAACAGGGTCCAGGCTCCCTGGCGGGTTCAGAGTCCAACAGAGTCCAGAAGCGTGACCAGGCAGACACGCACAGGAACAGACAGGATCAGGTGCTCAGTGGTAGAGAGTAGCAGAGACAGGACGTGGAACCCGAACTTGATGCAGGACCTTTAAACTGGTCTCCTCCTTGGAGCCAGGCTTACTGGAATAAAAACTGATCCTTCCCGCGTTTAGAGCCAAAAACCCTGAGGACTCAGCAGGGGAGGAACAGTGGACGATTAGGAGACGAGACAAACACAAAACCCTCTTTCCACTGGCCGCCAGGATCCAGGACATGAGCCTTGGAATAAACAGAACTAAACAGATTACAACATCTAATGATCTGGCCATGATAGCTGGGATTGAGCCCAATATAAGGGAAACTGGCAGATGGATGAGATAAGTGATAATTAGGAGGTGGAAAGAATGAATCAGGTGAACGGTATGAGTAATTAAGAGCAGCTATCAGAGCAGATCATGACAATGAGACCATCTCCACGCAGCCTGATGTTCCTGTGACTAAAGTTGCTCATATTATTCAACAATTTAAGATCCATTATACTGTAGCTGTGTCGACATGGCCGCAGGAGGAAAATTAATGCCAAGTTAAAGAGATCCTGGAAACATTTCTAAAGAGATTGAAGGTGAACTTCAAGCTCCAGGAACATCAGTGTCAGATTACATCATCTGTCATTGTTTGAGCCAAAAGTGGACTTAATGGAAGTTCTAAAAAAATTTCCAAGTTTGAAGATGCTTCACTTTTCCATCCAAGAAGCTTTTTCAATTCAAAATGTCAGAAATAGCGTTGAGTTCCAGGCCTTATAGAGTGGACCAAAAACAAAGCCTTGTTTTGGCTTAGAAAACTGTCATGTTTTCAAATGGAAAATGAAAAAATACATATTTGAAACTTTGAAAAAAAGGTTTTTTCAAAGTGAAATAAAAGGTTTTGAGAGTGATGTTGCTGTTTTTTATTACTAAGTTTTATTTCTTGAGGTATTTATTTTACAGATTCTATATTTTCAGATTTTTTTTTCAAAAAATATTGTACAGATTATACATTAACTTTTTTATAAATTGGATTCTTTTCAAACGTTATTTTACAGGTCACATTCTCTTTACTTCAAGCACAATACAAACACTTGCTCTTAATGCACACAAAAGGTTGCTGATGTCTTGCAGACTGACACAAATGCATGATGGTTCCTCACTCCATATGTGCAAAAGAAATCCATTTGTAAACCACAGTCTGAAAAATAGGAATTTGAATGAAAAAGAAGGAACATGTAAAGGAATAAAAAAAATTTATTTGAAAGATTTTAATGGAAAAAAATACTTTTTTTAATTTTACAAATTTCCATTTACAGAAGGTGTTGATTGCTTGCAACAACAATGGAACAAAATTTATGCCATAAACTTAACCTCAAGATTAAGTGCATCACCAAGTGGAGTAGTTGGTGCTGCACTTAGGTTTAGAAAACCAGAGAAATCCACCTTATCATGAACCAAGCTTTGAGTTTACTCTGCAGGACTTCACTATCAGCTCAAATGTTTCTGCTGCAGGGAGAAGAAGGAGCTAAAGAGGCAGATGGATCGACGGAGAACTGAGAAGATCAACCAAGCCAAGACCAAAGAGAAACATCTGGCTGAGGAGTACGATCTATACAGACACACAAAGAAAAATGATATTTTTCTCCTCTTTCTAAGCATAGATCTCTATGTTTAACTGTGCAGCAGTGGAATTAACAGCTTTCTGTGTCTTAGGGAGAAGAATGAGATCAACAAGTCTTACGTCAACGAGGTTGTGCAAAATATCAAGCGGGTGAGGAGCCTGCCTTCCAGGAACTTATTACGAACTATTTTAGCCATTGAATATGACTGAGTGGATGTGAAAATAATGTTCTTTGTCCTCAGCTTGAGGAAACTCAAACCAAACGTCAAGATCAGCTGGTGGAGCAACACAATGACCTGCTGCAGGAGATCCAAGACCAGAAACCAAAGGTAAGTGACCGATCTATCTTCAAGCATCACACGACAACCACGATCACCAAGACTTCTGTAATGCGGTTTTTGCTGGCTTTGGTTATTAACACAGACGTGACAGTGACTTCTGCTGCTTTCTAACATCCACACTTGCACCAAGCCAGCCAGACACCCACTCACACGTACTCACCACATCAGCAGGGTTGCCAGATGTCACTGATAACATTTTTCAGGCCAAAAAAGTGTTCATAAACCGCCTGGATACACGAAATCTTGCCGAATTTAAACCAAGTCTATTGATCTCTTAGGTCAAAAAATTAAAGAAAAATTTTTTTCCCCCATAGACGGCCATACTAAACTGCCAGATTGGGAAACATCCCAACCTGGCAACAATGCACGTAAGACAGGAAACGCTAGCCGTTAGATGCAAAATCCCATCATGCACCACAACATATTTTTGCAAAATATTAGAATATAAATTTGCCAAATATAAGAAGAACATCGTAGTTTGGTTTAAATAAAGCCTTTTTTTATTTTAATTTAGGTTTTGCAAGGATTTTACAGTTTGAAGAAATAGAAAATGACACATATGCCAACCGTCACAAGGATGTGCATGACAAGGAAGGGCTATATATACTGCATGCATCATTCAGGTAGTTAACATTGGATTACTTTTTGAGCTCCTTGAGTTATTTACTGTCACAGCTAGATGCTTCGGCCGGAGAGTACCGGTAAGTGTTGGGGCCGCTATGATTTAAGGAGGGCCGGCCCTCGCACGCTGAAATTAGGACCGGGCAAATGCCCGGTATCACAGATTGCCAGTCCGAACCTGTATGGAAAGTGACTGTCCATACACCTCAGACCTTTTTTCATTTAGTCACCTTGAATGAGAGCTCCATTTTTTTTAAAAGATATATCCAGTACAAGGGTTTTATTGCAGAAGTAAGCTCATTAGCTCATGATCGTGATTTAATCTCCATGAAAATTAAAGACCCATATCGTCTAACCACAGAATGTACAAGAATTTAAGTTGAAGCATTGGAATCCTTTTTGACATAAAAAAAAAGGTTTGGTGTGAACACACCATTAAAGTGCTGGTGAAGATTCTTAGTCATCCAGGTCATAGTCATTCCAAAAAAAGTAAAAAAAAAAAAAAACAGGTTGTTTGAGAGGGGTGTGAAGGAAGCCATCGTTAAGAAAGAAAAAAACTACCTTTAACAGAGGAGGTGGACTCAGATTTCAGCTTTCAAAAACCTACAATGCAGCAATTGTGTTAATCCCTTCCCACTATCATTCCAACCCCCACCTCTTTACAGGGGGAACAGAAGACCTCGCCTATTCAGCCAGGCCAACAATTCCCTTTAACGACCCCCCTTTCAGAGACATAGACAGGTATGGGGCATTGCAGGCTAACAAAGAAGCCAACGACCCCTATTCCAAATGGTGCACCTGTTCGTCTGTTTCAATTTGCATATTTTCTAAAGGCTTTGTTGGGCTACTGTATAAAGCCTTAAACGTAACGCTATTCCTGTGATTTTGAATCAAAAAAGCTTCCAGGATGGGAAGCGAAACGTCTGCACGCTGCAAAAAATTGAAATCTCTATAAGTTATTTTGTATTAAAATAAGTGAACTTTTTCTTGAGTCGAGGAGGTCAGTGAGACACTTTGCCAACAGAACTAGACAATTTATTTTTAGAATAAGAAAAATCAACTGCAGTCTCTTATTTCAGGTGCATATCATCTAATTATCTTTTTTTTAAGAATAAAAAACTTATTCTGTGGGCAAATAATTTTATTTACCTACCTAAGATAAGTTACCCAAGTTAAGGCTAAGTTACTTAAGTTAAGGCTAAATACACTTCATTTAAGAAATGTTTACTTATTTCTAGATGGTTTTTGCAGTGCAAACTGGGAAACAAAGTCCAGAGGATTGTTTTTTCAACTTTTTTGGAACACCATTAAAGTGTATATATTACAAATGTTGGAAATAATTTACAACATTTATCTACATATTACACCATTTTTTGTACTGTTCCTCTTCAGTACTCCACTCACTCCTTAAAGTCATAGGGAAATCATATTTAAATGTCAAATCATTTTGGCTTAAACATGTATA